GAGATGAAAAGAACAATGATAATTTTGATGGACGTTGGTCTATGATGTTTAATATGATTATCGAGAGTCTTAATTTGAGAGAAATCGAACTCACCGGTAGACAATTTACATGGGCCAACTCGTTACCCACTCCTACTTATGAAAAGCTGGATAGGGTACTGGCTAGTGTGGAGTGGGAACAAAAATATCCTTTGGTGTCGGTCCATCCGATGCAGAGAGCAATGTCGGATCACACACCACTTCTATTAGATTCGGGTGAGGCTACCCATGTGTCAAATAAAAATACTTTCTCCTTCAAACAAAGCTGGTTTGAGCGAGAAGGATTTTTGGAGATCATTGCACGCGAATAGGCTAAGCCGGTTAGTGGAAGGACGCATGTTGAGAGATGGCAAAATAAAATTAGACATCTCTGACAGTTTCTAAGAGGGTGGGCCAGGAATGAGAGTGGGACTTACAAACAAAAAAAGAGCGTCTTACTCAATTGATTGAGGCACTAGACTTAAAGGCTGAAGCCACTCTTCTTTCTGCTAATGAGCAACAAACCAAGTCCGAGGCTGAGCAGGGTCTACGATCTCTCTTGAGAGAGGAGGAGCTTAAGTGGGCATTGCCTTCGAAAACGCTTAAGGTTGTCCAAGGGGACGACAATACACAATTCTTCCATATGGTTGCAAATGGTAAATATACGAAGAAGAAAATTATATAGCTTTAACAGGACGAGAGGACAATAGTGGGACATGAAAACCTGAAAGCATATATCTCTAATTATTATAAGAAACTTTTTGGACCCCCGAATTCAAGTATGGTGTCACTTGATGAATCTATGATTGATGATATTCCTCAATTACAGGCAGCAGAGAATGATATTCTCTTTGCACCGTTTACTTAAAGAAGAGGTTCTTCAGGCAATATCACAAATGAAGCCGAATAAAGCATCGGGACCAGATGTGTTTCCAGCTGAATTCTATAAGAAATGTTGGCATATCATTAAAGATGATCTTATGCCTATGTTTCATGATTTTTTTCAATGGCCATTTAGTGTTATTTCATCTTAACTTTGGTATGATAAAGCTGCTACCTAAGAAAGATGAGGCAGTTCGAATCGAACAATTCCAGCCCATATGCATGTTGAATGTGAGATTCAAAATTTTCACAAAGGTTGGAACCAATAGATTGACACAAATTGCTCATTCAGTGATCCAACCAAGTCAGACAACGTTCATGCCAGGGCGACACATACTGGAAGGGGTGGTCGTTCTACACGAAATGCTTCATGAGATCCACTCAAAGAAACTAGATGGGGTTATCTTCAAAGTGGATTTTGAGAAGGCGTATGATAAAGTTAAGTGGCCTTTTCTTCAGCAGGCCATGCGCATGAAAGGTTTTAGTGAAACCTGGAGGAACCAAGTGGATACCCAAGTCCAGAAGTGTAGTGTCGGAATCAAGGTGAATGATGATATTGGTCACCATTTTCAGACACATAAGGGGTTGAGACAAGGGGATCCCATGTCTCCTCTCTTGTTCAATATTGTGGCAGATATGTTGGCCGTCATTATTGGGAGGGCCAAGCAGCATGGCCATGTAGAGGGTCTAGTTCCTCATCTAGTCGATGGAGGGATAGCCATTCTATAGTATGCTGATGACACTATCCTATTCATGGAACATGACATGGCTAAGGCACGTAATATGAAACTTATCTTGTGTCTCTTCGAACAATTATCTGGTTTAAAAATTAATTTTCATAAGAGCGAGTTGTTTTGCTTTGGGAAGGCCAAAGACGAGGAACAGACTTATAGACAATTGTTCGGATGTGAATTGGGTGCTTTACCATTCAGTTACTTGGGTATATCGATCCATCACCGTAAGCTATCCAATAAAGAATGGAAGTGTATTGAAGAATGAGTTGGAAAAAAACTTAGCTACTAGAAGGGCAAGCTTATGTCATATGGAGGTCGTCTAGTCCTGATTAACTCAGTACTGACTAGTATGCCGATGTTTCTACTTTCGTTCTTCGAAATTCCAAAAGGGGTTCGGAAGTGACTTGATTTCTTTAGACCTTGTTTCTTTTGGCAGTCTGATGAGGCCAAGAGAAAATACCGTCTCGCGCGATGGGATATCCTTTGCCGACCTAAAGACCAAGGGGGTCTCGGTATTGAGAACTTAGAAATAAAGAATAAATGTCTTATGAGCAAATGGTTATACGGGTTAGAGACAGAGCCGGAGGGTATGTGGTCTCAAATTTGCGCAATATGTATTTGCACTCGGAAACATTAGCCCAGGTTACCATGAGACCGACTGACTCGCCATTCTGGAAGGGACTTATGCGAACGAAGGACTTGTTCTTTCGTAGGGTCAAATTCTTGGTTGGCAATGGGATGGATGTCAACAAGATTTTGGGAGGATACGTAGTTAGGAGAGACGCCCCTGGCTGTCCAATATCCTACCCTCTATAATATTATGCAACGTAAGGAGGATTACGTAGGCACAATTCTTCAAACTATTCCCTTGAACATCTAGTTCAGACGTGCGTTAGTTGGTGAGAGATGGACCGCCTGGATGCACTTGGTACGGAGATTGATAGAAGTTCCACTCTCCGATCAGCCGGATTCGACACAATGGAAGTTAACTAACAATTGGATGTTTATGGTGAAATCATTCTATATAGATTTGATTAATTCTAGCCCACTCTCAAGGTCGTTGCACATTTGGAAGGTTAAGGTTCCTTTGCATATTAAAATCTTTATGTGGTTTGTTCACAAACAAGTGATACTCACAAAGGACAACTTAATTAAAAGGCGTTGGTAGGAAGTTCGCGGTGCTGTTTTTGTGATCATGATGAAACAATACAACACTTATTTCTTGAATGCCCACTTGCCAAGCTACTTTGGAGAACGATTCATATAGCTTTCAACATTAATCCTCCAGTCGATATTGCATCATTGTTTGGGACGCCGTTAGCTGGGGTTGAACAGATTACTGCGGCTCGTATTCGGATTGGAATATGTGCGTTGTTATGGGCTATATAGAACTGCAGGAGTGATATGATTTTCAATAGACAACAAACTTTAACTTTCTTGTAGGTTATCTTCAGAGCTACAACTTGGATCCGTACGTGGTGCTTACTCACTCCTATGACATCCAGGGAGCCTTTGGTTACTGGGTGCAACTAATGTGAGATGGTTGTTCGGGTTATATTCAACCGGTTCGGATGACGCTCGCATAACAGGATATGAGTCTAGGGAGTTTACCCTTCTTATTACCGTATCGGTTATCTTTGTCAGCATGTAATTTTCCTTTTTTACTTTATTCTACTCCGTTTGCGAGCTGTAAGACTTTTATGACGATACTTTCTGGATTGTTAATAAGATGGTTGCATGCATCATCATGATGCAGAGGCCGGGGGCAATGCCTCCATTTCCAAAAAAAAAAAACTTGAGGCATCTTTGCATGATATTTTCTTCTTGAGAGCCTGCCTAAGTTATTCCAGATGCTTATTCCTCGCTCTTCCAGTTTCATCAAAGCTGTTTCGAATTGCTTACCATGAGGTCCACCATGACATATACGTATAGAACACTTCATAATTATCTTGATTCTTTTATTGATCTGCTAGCATGTCAAAATGTTCGACATCTACTAAAGCTATAGTGTGATCTAGGCATCTAGCTACTGACATCGATACCAAGAGAGCATGATTTGGTCGAGATGCCTTCCCCCACTCTCGAGCATCGGGTGCGAATTCGCCCGAGGGAACGATATTATTATTTCCAAACGACCGAACATTTGAGATAACTATCACCTGCATTATATCCATGTGTCATTTGCTTCTATTCCAAACTAAAGCAGCTCACGAATATGACTGCACTCACGTCAGTGTGGAATTAAGCATCTCTGGAGGAGTCCCACGAGAACACACCTCTACTCCTAGCTAGCTGCGATGGAGCCTATAAATGACCACCAAAACCGAGCTCACTTGAAACCACGCACTCCTCTCGCTACAAACAGATCTAGCTCCAGGTAGTTAAATAACTTTGCATCCACCCAGGAGAGGGAAAGTTCGAGAATGTTCCGGCGCAGCGGCGGTGGCGGTGTCAGGGGCAAGACGGCGGCTGCGAGCACCAGCACGGGCACTGAGCTGCCCGTCGATGGAGCTGTGCGGGTGACGAAAGTGGACAAGATCCAGGCTTACAATCTCGTCTCGAGGCCGTCGGTGCACCACGCCATCGTGCCGGCGACGTCGGGGCCGGCGGAGAGCCTCGCCGTCAGTGTTGTCCGGGTGGTGGACGTCGTGGACGAAGCTGTGCGGGTGACCAAAGTGGACAGGATCCAGGCTTACAATCTCGTCTCCAGGCCGTCGGTGCACCACGCCATCTCGCCGGCGACGTCAGGGCCGGCGGAGAGCCTGGCCGTGAGGGTAGTCCGGTTCGGGGACGTCGTGGACGAAGAATCCGACGGCCTCATCTCGGTGACCATCACATAGAACTAACTACTCTTTACTACGTAACTAATAACTAGGCCTGTCGTGCCTTAAGCGTGTTTAACGTTTCGCGAGAGAAACATATGTACGCGCACCAGTGGGTAACTGTAATGGCAATAGCACGTGGAAGGATATTAATAATCTTGGGAAGAAAAAAAGTTTTTCCTCTAAATTATCGGATTTGCGTCCGTATATTATTTTTAAGGATAAGTTTGCATTTGAGGCAGATCCAATTAATTTTGGTCATCAAACCATGTCAATCCAAAGACCTAGATTGCTCCAATGATGAGCTCTCAACATATTGGCATGCAATACCACTCGGAGTACAGAAGACTTAGAGTCACTCCGGATGGCAACGGTCAGGAGTTCACTCCGTAGCCTTAAAGATCATTGAATACACTTATAGCTACGCCCTGTCTTAATGTACATGTGGTTTCTTGTCTGGTCGAATGGCTTTATCTTGGTCGAGTGATTGTGGGGGTGCCGAGTGAGGGGATTGGTCGAGTGGATTGCACTCGATGGTTTCAGTCGGTACTCCTTGCTATATCTTGAATGTCCTTGATTTTAGGGCAGTGATCTTGGGTAGGGCGTATAGGTCAGGTCTATGACCCTACCCTAGGTCTAGGGCATCGTCAAGAGAGACCTGACAAGGAGGCCCCACCCAGGTCAAAACCGTCGTTGACTAGTGCCACATCAGCAATGGGTGGAGACAAACCAGCCGGGGGGTGTTTTCTCCGGTTTTGGTTTGTTTGGGGTAGAAAAGGCCGAAAAATAGATCAGGGGTAAAGTGAACCACCCACTTTATTCAGGGTAGTAAAATTGACTTTTTTCTTCCGATGCTCATTCTCAATGATCATGCTATGCATGATCACGCACGTTGTGATGATGTATCAAATGATCTCTTGATCCCAAAGCCTAGTTGGCCCTCGCACAATAGCGAATTGGGCTTGCAAAATCCTAAAAACTCTTTCCACTTTTTTCTAGCGGCCGCTTGACCATTATGAAAGTAGACTTCTTCCTTAGCATGGGAACTTGATATTGGCTTCACAAAAGTAGAAAACTTTGGATACATCTCATCCACACGGTAGTAGCCCTGTTGTAGTTGCGGCCATTTACTTAGAACTCCACCGATAGTGATTCTCCAACGGCTAACTTGGCAAAGAGAGATGAACGCGGCAACTCATTATTGCCGTTGCAAGAACCAAGCATACCAAAGTATACATGTCGAATCCACGTCACTTTATCGTCCACAGCCTTAAGAATGATGGTGGTATCCTTCTTGTGTCATTTGAACTGTCCATGTCATGTTGCAGAGCATTTCTTTCACTTTCAGTTCATGCAATTAATGGACCGAGCATTCTTACAAATCCCCAGGCAATGTCGACAAACATGGACATCAGTAAACATGTGCAATAGCAAAATGTGATGTTTGTGTTATGTGTACAAATTACTATGCATCAAACTTGAGCACCAATAAACCTTTGCGGTGAAAACCAAATCACTAACCTTAATTTTCTAAAAAAAATACTAACCTTAATTTTGGAACATGAAAATTTGTCATCTTGGTCTTGTTGGTGGTCAATCCGGCTCACCAGGCCCCATCGCCAAACCCACCCACTATCGGGTCAAATCTTATCTGAGCTCAACGATGTGAAGAGCTCTACTTTTGGGATCAAACTCTCGAGCACCACCATGACGTCGTCTATGGGCACTCCTATAGGCCAACAGTAGAGGCAAAGAGCACAGTAGACGCCCAAGCCTGGTACTAAATGCGTCGAAACAGTGTGGCCCATTTTAGAAGAATAATTTTAAAGAGATTTTGGTAAATTAAGCTACATTACAATATGCTTATTACTAAAAATAATTAAAAATTAGGTTCAATTTTTTTAAAAGATTCATGCATTATAAAAAAAAGGTTCATGGAATTAAAAAGAATATTTTTTTCAAAATGTGTAAAACTTATTTATTTCACATTTATTTTAATACTCCATCCATTCGGAACTAGTTGTTGCTCAAACGGATTTCAGTGCTAAATACATCTGTTTGAGTGTCAACCGATTTCGGAAAGGGGGAGCATTAGTTTAGGTGTTTAAAAAATATTTACGAATTTAATAGTATGTTAAAATTATTTAAAAATTATTGATACATTTCTACAAAATAATTGTATCTCTTAAAAAATGTCCATGAAAATTTAAAAAATGTTATCACTTTCATTAAATGTTCCTGCAATTATAAAAAATGTTTTCGTGTATTTTGGGAAATGTCAACAATATGAAAAATTCTTCATATATAAAGAAAATATCCGTGTATTTAACAAAATGTATATGTTATTTTAAAACATTGTCGTACATTTTAAAATAGTCTCATGCAAGTTTCTAATATTTTTGAAGCATTTTTTCATTTTGTATTATTTTAGAAAATTACCACGTTTTAGAATGTCTTTTTTGATTTAGAAATGGTACTCATGCATTTGCAAAAACTATTCTAATAATCTTTAAAAGTATTTATATTTAATATTTAAGAATTAAATAGAAAATATATACATATATAGATGTAGAATATTTTAAAATATAAAGAGAAGTACAAAATAAGAAAAAATGAGAACAGCAAAAAAAAAGAAAAACAGGCAGCGGATCAAGCGCGTCTGGGGCTCGCCGGACGCGAGCGGATCCCCCCATAAACGAGACATAGGGGCGCCCCGGCAATTCCTATTTGGCGCCTCAGGCGCCAGTTAACATGGATTTTCGTTAACTGGCGCGTGTGTCGTCTGTAAATGGGCCCGGTTGACTTCTTTTTTTTGAAAATTCTATGAACTTTTTAAAAATTTCAACAGTTTTTTTTCGGATTGATGAACTCTTTTGAATATCGATGAACTTCTTTGAATATGATGAAGATATTTTTGAAAATGGATGAACTTTTTTTATCTATGAACTTTTTTCAGTTCAATGAACTTTTTCTAAAAATACATGAACTTTTTTGAATTTCTATGAACTTTTCTAAAATTTAATTCAATTTTTAAAAATTAATGAACTTTTGCTAAGTTGGATGAATTTCTTTTCAATTTGAATGAACGTTTTTTCTAACTAATAGCACAGGAACAATTTTCTGATACTGCATGATTTTTCCAAAAAATATGAACATCTTTATCTTCGACAAGTACATGATAAAAAATTTCAAAATATGATTTTTTCAATTAGAAAAACATTTCATTTAATGCTTCAACACTCTATAAACATACATGAACATGAGTTTATATGTGTAAATATTAACTAAATATTACATGCATGATTTTATTTTAAAATTATATGCACATTTTTGTATAATACTTTAAGATGTTTTAATACACAGTAAAGATATTTTTATGTACACGATGCCTATTTTTTAATATGCAATGAACATTATTTTAATACGTGATGACCATTTAAAAAAATAGGGTCACACTGAACACTCTTTCAGTAGCGACGAACAATTTTTATTTAACTATGAGTATTATTTTAATACATGATAAACATTTGAAAATACTTTTATTGGACAATATTTTTATTAAGTACTAAAATAAAATAGGTCTTCCAAATATTTGCTTTTTGAAATATAAATAACCGATTGAGTGAGCTAATTGCTTCAAGATCGATCATTGCTTCCTCAATATCTACCGAAGAAGTATCAACTAAGTTGGTCTGGCCCATGTGCGGTATTTAGTAGGCGAGCACAATTTATAACTCACAACAAGCGAGGTGTTGCTGCTTCCATCTCTTGATACCGGTCCCAAATTTTTTGATTACATAAATCTAGACTTCGATGCCAGTCGACCATCTCGTCCATGCCGCTCAAACATTAGTAAGGTTAGTGATTGTGACGCCCCCGACTTAATCGTACACTAATCATACACGCAAATGTGTACGATCAAGATCAGGGACTCACGAGAAGATATCACAACACAACTCTAGACACAAATTAAAATAATACAAGCTTTATATTACAAGCCAGGGGCCTCGAGGGCTTGAATACATCAACTTGAATACAAACGAGTCAGCGGAAGCAACAATATCTGAGTACAATTTCTTCCCTGCAGGGGTGCACCAACTTACCCACCACACTCGATTAACTCTGGCCGGACACACTTTCCTCGGTCATGCCCGGCCTCGGCCAAACAATAGGCCGCAACCTGACCTAGGCTAAATAGAGAGGTCAGGATGCCGGACTAAACATATGCCCCCAGGGGTCATGGCGCATCACCTCGGGAACTCCTGCATGTTGCGTACGCGGTCGGTGAGCAGACCTAGCTACCTCCTTAAAAAGGCAGGAGCTTACGCAGACCAATCCGGCGCGTGCCGCTCAGTCGCTGACGTCTATTAAGCTTCGGCTGATGCATACAACGCAGAACGCCCATACTATGCCCACGTGATGGTTAGTGCTATCAGGCCAGAGGCCCCTCGGATCAAATATCCAAATCATAGTGGATTAGGAACGCGCGGTAACAAGCAGAGACTCACGAAAGATGTGACCCCGTCGCGCCGTCTCGAGGACTTGCGGCAAGGGCTAAGAATGCCTGGCCATGCCTCGTAATTATCTCGCGGGCACCTTCCAGGTCAACTCGACTCCACATCACTCGCAATTAAGCTCGCGCGGGTACCCCTCAGGACTGCCCCGTCTTTAGTAACATGGTTCAGTATAAAGTCATAGTAACTATAGTAAATGTGTGTCTAACACCAAGGGAACCCTGAGGAACCACCCTCGGTGGACTCCACTCGATGTAATCATCAAGGTGAACGTAAGAGGAACCACCCTCGAGGTTCACACTTGAGGGGTTGCATGATAGAGTCGTATCAGAAGTGGTTAAGGAGGAAATCACCCTCGATGACCATGACCGAATAGCTACAGTACAAAGATCTCATCAGGAGTGATGTATGAGGTTCCACCCTCGGCACTCGATGGTAACTCTACAGAGTTGAGCAACAAAAAGGGCGTGATGTGATGTGAGGCGTCGGGCTCTCGTCGTCGAT